ATGGCTGCAATATAGATATTATCCACACCTTAGGCTTAGAATAATTAAAAAGGGCATTTAATGACAACATGTGAATTAAATGTCTACACCCAAGCAAATAACAGGTCCTCAGGACAGTCTGAGGAATAATTCTGGGTCAAGGCAAACACGCTTACAGTTGCCAATAGTTTGGCTGAAATGTGTTGTTCAACATATTACCCTGCCAGTCTTCAGCCTCTCCACCCCTGTGAAAATTCTGTCTCTACCTAGTCCAAATGTACAAAGAGCATGAGCAAATGTATGAAAAACATAGGGGGAAGAAAAATGAAAGAATGCCAGAGATTTTCATATCTGTCCCCAAATACTTTTTTTTTTTTTTTTTTTTGCGGTACACGGGCCTCTCACTGTTGTGGCCTCTCCCGTTGTGGAGCACAGGCTCCGGACGTGCAGGATCAGCGGCCATGTCTCACGGGCCCAGCCGCTCTGCGGCATGTGGGATCTTCCTAGACCGGGGCACGAACCTGTGTCCCCTGCACTGGCAGGCGGACTCTCAACCACTGTGCCACCAGGGAAGCCCCCCAAATACTTTTAATACAGGGTAAAGGCTCCAATCTCCAGGACACAAATGGTTTACGGAACTTCTGAAAGGTCAGGGTTGTATTAGATAACGTCAAGAATTCTTTCTGTGCTACAATTGTATGAAAAGGGTAAAAGACAAGGAATGAAAAAGACAAGGAATGAAAAGGAATGTTTCTCCAGGTCAAGATGAGCTAACAGACCCCCAAGCCATGAACCACCTGGCCAGAGAAGGTAAACAGGACACATCCTGACCCACTGAAACTAACATTTAAGAAATGTCACAGAAATTTCACAAGCTTCTCAGTTCTTCAGTTCTTCCCCTTTAAAAACAACCCCAACTCAAAGACCAATTTGGAGTGGATCTGAGACTTGTCTCCCACTCCCTTCTTGGCGCCCTGCAAATAACCCCTTACTTTGCTGCAAACACCTACTGTCAAGAGTTTGGCTTTCTGCACCAGGGGCACACCAGTTACACATTCATTTGCTTATAAGCTCACCAAAAGCTTTATACACAAGGTACAGTGGTATCTATGTAAAAAAGTGACTTATAACCTGAAATCACACATGCTTTCTGACTTTGCTGCTTGGCAGAGTGATTCATTTACCTGTGCAGGTCCAATTCCACATAGGGAAAAATAAGTTTCTCTTTAATCAACTCCCAAATGATTCGTGTCATTTCATCTCCTTGCATCTCTACTACAGAACCGCCTTGGATTTTTTGAGACATTTTGACTTCAATAAACCTTCAAGAGGAAAAATGATAAGACACATAGCTCATCATTTGCCTCATTACCATGTAAAAACAAAATACAATTTGGTGACTTCTAAAAGAACAACTCATAACAGCATGACTGCATAAAAAGCTAATAACAATTACATTAACCATTAGAATCGAATACGTTTGCTGTATAAAGCATTGTGTTACATGCTTCTTGTGTGGTTTCTGAATCAACACTCACAACAACCCTGTAAGATGGAAATTATTTTTCCATTCTACTTTGCTAAAAGAAAAAAAGCTTTCGCAAGGCCATCCGGCTGGAGGGTCGGCTGGAAGGTCGGGGAGCCTGAGCCGGTCACATGCCCTTAATAATGTAATCATTATTCTTGACTGTTGGTTTGTCCTATAAAATGAGATTATTTCCACAATATCATGTTTATTTGAAAACCTCTATCCAACTCCTCATTCTACTGGGCCCTCAAGAGGAGCAGAATGATGTGTGCTACTATTTCCCCTCTTTTAAGAGGCTGTTTTGGTTAAAACAACTATCCTTGAGGAGATTCAACAAGTTCCAGCGACCCATTTTAAAGAAACTTTAAGTCCTTTTAAAAGTGAAATATGAAGAATTCCAGGTGGAACTATATTTTCCTAGAGACAATAACGGATATTGGGGATGTCACACTGAATACAAAGTGATTTCTCAGAGAAATCTGTACGTATAGAGAAGGACTACTGTCCAGGACACGCCCCTGTTCTGTCCTCGGTATCCCAACTCCTGGACTCTTCTTCTGGCGGTTAGTGGGCAAAGCTGCCAGTGGGTGGGACAGGGGATTGGAATTGTTCCAGGAAGAGGTGTCTTCTTGGGATGTGGGGGGATGCCAGATTCAAGTCAATCTGATTCCCAGAGAGGGCAGGGGTACACCCTTTGGATGAGGCTTAAAGAAAGGCGTGTTTCCTGAGAGGCAGAGGAGGCCCTGAGCCTGCTAAAGGTTCCCTTTCATGGTGCTCTAATGGAAACTTTTTTTCTCCCTAGCAACATAACTGCAGATTGCTTTTATTCTTTTAAGTTATGGCTGAGGACTGGAAGTCAGGAGAACTGACTAAAAAAAATATGAAGTAAGAGGCCTGTAAACAGTATTTCTTAAAAAGTTAAGCGAAAGTAACTTGGTCTTTAAATTTTAAAACGTAATGATTAGTAGACTGTGAGCTTCAGTTCCTCACCACAAGCCAGGACATATTCCTAACCCCTAGGCCCATTTTCACTTCCCAATTTCTAACTCTGGGATCCTGCTTATTAGTATTTAGGAGGTTCCCTAGACCATTACTGGGGAACCATCTGGAACTCAACTAGAATAAAAAAGTGAACAAACTGGTGTGAATGAGTCAGCTACTTCCCATTTGTAATTTCAAGTATAATTTAAAGTACAGCTTAAAGTGTATGATTTAGTCATGCTGATCCCACTGTCACATCTGTCCTTGTATTTAAAACAAAACAAAAAGAGGCAGCAAACTTATCTTAGTTTTGATACATTTCTGAGGCCATACTCCTACATAGTATTATGCAAGGGCTATGATGGCTAATTTTCTTTGACGGCAAATACAGTTAATAAAAGGTCATACATCATACTTGAAATTTCAATAATGAGTGACAATGTTTTTTAGTTAATTATTTTCTTCTCAATTGAAACAAACACTTTCTGCAGTAATCTTTCTATATTTCATAATGCATAACTGAAACATTTCATGTTTTCTTCACGTTACTTATCCATTACATTTTTACTATCTTTTCACTAAAAAAGTGAAGCTTTATTGTAGACCCTGGCTTACTACAATGTAGGACACTATTTTATTTCTCCTAGATTTGAATTCCATGCAGTGAGCATTAGACACCACTGAATTCACTTTCTACCCTAGTCCCTCAGATTTTCTGTCTCCACCCAAACCCTGGCTTCAGAAGGAAGGCCTTTTCCAACAAGCCAGTTCATTTATTCTGAAAGCAGCTGAATTCCAATCTCCTGATACACATGTGCAATGCTAGAAAGTAAACCTGGACTAATACAAAGTAGTTTAAGAAAAAAGAGCTGCTCACCCTGTTTAATTTTATTTTCATTATTCCCAAAATTTTAGCCACATTTTTTGGGGGGCTGAGTTCATAAACTACATTAATTTCTGGGCAACCCCCCCAAAAAACCAAAGTCTCTTGCAGAGAAGTCTAGACTGAAAGAAACAAGGAAGCAAGTGCAATTTATTGTTGGAAATATTCCTGACTCACTCTTGCAGTGGCTCTGACCACTTCCAAGACCTCCAAGACCAATTAGACTCAGTATTGCCATATTAAAGAATGGGAGAAATTGCTAATTCTCACCTTTACAATTTCTAATCACCCCAACTCCTCTCAATCTTGCAGACTCAGCTGAGTGCAGTTTATCTCCTAAAACAAATCAAAAAAGGGAAGAGAAAGGTAAGGTACAAGGCACTCCTGTCAGGAGAATTTAGCTGATTTCAATACGGGCCAGGCAACCCGGTTTGTCTGGTTTAAAGTACAGTGCTGAGTGTACCAGGCGGGGCAAAGGGCAGTTTTAGGTCCGCAGGCACCTTTCAAATAAAGTAAATATCTCTGCACACACTGGAGGGTGCGTCCGTGGGGAGTCCCGGGTTCGTCGTCCGTTAGCTAGTCTTGGGGTTTTGCACGTCCTTAGGGGACGCTGTGACCAGCGGGCTCATGGCCTGCATGCGTCCTTGTGGCCACTGTGCAAGAGGGCTGCATCCGAAGCTGGCTCGGTTTCTCCTTCCAGGTCTCCACGTCCGCCTCTTCCCCCCCAGGTGCCGGGACCTTTAAAACCCGGGCGCCAGGAACAGGCCGAAGGACGCCTCCTCCAGAACTGGAGAAGCTGGCGGCGGCGTGGTTTCCTCCACTCTCACTCCGCCCCCGACCGCCACCAGGTGGCCTAGCTAACGCCCCTCGCCGCCCCCCTTCAGGCTCCCCAGGCGGACGCATCCAGCTCGCCGCACCGCCAGTCCCAGCAGCCCAAGGTCGATGCACACTCCCAAGTCCTCCAGCTCCCGAGGCCGCACGTTTTCTTCCCCGTAAACGCAAGACTTCGACTTCCACGCGTCCCTGCATCCTCCCACCCCGATTTTCCTTTCTGTTGCAGACTTGGCCTTCCGTCTGTCATGGCATGCAACCTTCCGCCGCCCGGTTTTCGTCCTCCCTTTCCTAAGAGCGGGCCTTCTACACATCCAGGCATCCAGCACCTTCTTCCTCCCCATTTCCAAAACCACGCCCAATACCTGGATTTCTTTCCCCTGCCTTGCGACCACGACTCGCCGCTAAGTTGCCCCTACCATACCCAAGATCTGAGCTTCCTTCCTTTTTCCCACTCCAGCTATTGACAGAGCCTCCCCACAAAAGCCAGGGGCCGGAGACGCCCTTCGAAGCCTGCGGTTACCTGCAGGAGAAGGTACGCTGGCGATGACCCGGGAACGCCACAGCCCTCACACGGTTAACCCCACAAGCGCACACTCTGGCAATCCCAGCTGTGCTCCAGCTGTTTCGGCCTCTGACACGGCCTCTGCAGAAACCGAGAGCTGGAACGGTCGCGCTTCCAGGCTTTTGTCCAGACCCAGGCCCGGCCCCCTCAGTCCACCTCCCGGAGCTCCGCCCCTGCCCCGTCGCCAATCGCCGCGCGCTGACCCGCTGAGATGGGCGGGGCCAGGGGCCAGGGGCGGGTCCCGGAAGACTAGGTCGAATTCCGCGGCGAATTCCAAGCGCTCGAGGTGGGGAAGGGCTTGCAGCGCCTTTGGAGTCGGCCGCCACTGCTCTACGGCAGAAGGACGAGATTGCCACCTGCAGGCTGGGGAGCAGGGCACGCCTGGGCTGGTCTTCTGAATCCTCCGCCGCGAAGGGGCCCCCCGGGCTTTGTAACAACCTAGGGCCCGGCGGAGTGAGTTTCCACGTCTGCAATAAAGGCAAACCGGGGACGGCGCGGCTCGGACCGATCCCCTTCCCTGCGCGCCCCGGCTGTGTGGTAGACTGGAACGCGCTTGGACAGAAGGAAAAGTGCCCTGGGCAAGCGTGACATCGCTTTGGGGGCTTCGCGCAGCTGGACTGCAAAGGGTTGAACAGTTGCACAAGCAGGCATGGTACAGTAAATTTCCGCCACCGCCGATGACTAAGTCTTTAGAGCTTCGGTATCTATAATTTCAATTACTACTGAGTACTATAAATAAACGCTGTCGTCATTTGCATTAGAAGATAAGGATAATGAGATTATTATCTGGGTTCCAGAGAAGTTCAAATAAAGATCGGAAGTCTTAGAGAACAGTGGATTAAAAAAAAATTCTGTCCTCTGCAGGGGATTATTTTTTGTGTATTCCTTACTCTTGAAAACATGCAAGGCGGGGGAGAAGTATTTTAGATCGTGATTTGTAGGATAATCGCATGCTTGGTCCAGGATTCAATGCCCCCAAGTTTAGTTTTTAAAATTATCTCTAATATCGGGTTATTATTATTACTCTTATGAAGGGTACTATGCGAGGTGCATTTTGGTCACTAGAGGGCACTGGTATTTTTCCCAAGAGAAAAGGAAGAAGGAAAGCATACGCAGCCTCGCGCTTGTTGATTATTGAGATGGATTAACTGAAAGTAGCGGTCACTTCCATTTATTCCTATAGAACTGATTATAGAGGTATATGGTCTTGTATTTTCATCTCTAATTTGAGACTCCAAATCACCTGAGATTGTAAATTTACTGTATATTATATCAGGCTCACGTTATTACCCCTTGTCCACTGCTAAAATTATTTATATTCATTCTTGTTCCAGAAAGGATTTAGAGCAACCTTCAAGATACATACAGTATAGCACGACAAAGGACATTGAATATAGGTGAGGAAAAGACAGAATAAATACAGGAAATTGTACAGAACCAAGGTGAGTTTAATCACAAAATGTATTCCATCAAATCCCAAACAGTGCCGAAAGGGGGGGCTACAAATTTGGCTCTAAGCCAATGTGGGAGGAAAGGTAACAGCGTTACCTTTCTAAAAATCTAAAACAGCGTTTCCTAAGTCAGTAATGTAGGAAGTACTTTTCAACTGAAAAGTTTTTTTGTAGATCCCGAGCAGTGACTTATATTAATATATACAGATATATGCTCCTTATGCTGATAGCTCTCATACAACTATAAAATAACAAACTTATAGACAAAATGACTAGAAGCAAAACTATAAAAAATATATTACCATTGTCAACATTAATTAAATGTAACAAACGATGTTTGGCTGAAATTAAATTACTGCTTGCAATTTGAATATAAAACTCACTGCTTACATTCTGGTTCTTTTGAATTTAGCTTGGCTTTTCCACTGGATGCCATGTGAGGATTCATTTAGAACACCAGTCTTCCAGACTCACAGACATAGAGAACAGACCTGTGGTTGCCAAGGGGGAGAGTGGGTGGGGTTGGAAGGGATTGGGAATTTCGGGTTAGCACATGCAAACTATCATGTATAGGATGGATAAACAGCCAGGTCCTACTGTATATCTCAGGGAACTATATTCAATATCCTGTGATAAAACAGATTAGAAAAGAATATAAATAAGAATGTATACACCTGTATAACTGAATCACTTTGCTGTACAGTGGGCGATCTTTACTGGGCTATCTATTCTGTTCATGTGATCCCTTGGTCTAATTTATACTTTATTGTATGTTTATGAAATATTAACATCACCAGGCTAACTACAAGAGGGGGGAATTTTTTTGCTTGTCTTTGTTTCTGGAAGGCATAGACTTGAGCACGTTCACGGGTTAAGGAGGAAGGAGTCATTGGAAAAAGAGAGGTTGAAGAGAGGGCACAAACTTCTGTAATAGGGAAGACGCTTTGTACTCTATTATGAGTTAAAGACACTTTGTACTCTATTATGAGTTAATCACTAAAGAAATGTCGCCTGTAAGCTTAAATTATACATAATGGCCCATCTCTGGGAATCCTGCCTCCCAGGTAATGAGCATTAAGCTAAAATACCTTTGTTTAGCTCACAGGAGACATCCTGACCAGGCGGACCTGTGGATGACTGCAGGGAGGAAGAAATTAACACATCTTTTATGGAGGCTGACTGGAACCAGGAAATGTTTGACTTCACTCCCTCCCCTTTTAGTATAAAAGAAGCCTGAATTCTAACTCAGGCAAGATGGTTCTTTGGGGGCACGAGTTCACCATCTTCTTGGTTTGCTGGGTTTCTGAATAAAGTCGCTTGCCCCAACACCTCGTCTCTCGATTTATTGGCCTGTCGCGCTGCCAGCAGTTGGAGCTTGGACTTGGTGACACTCCCAGGGAAGAGAGGAGAGACTGGATTGAGAGCTGGGAAGATTGAGCAGAAGAGGCTCTTTTCTCCCAGAAATGAGGGCAGGAGTCAGGCCAGGGTGGATGTGAATGCAGGTAAATGTGATTGGGGTGGTTAGGTAGTTAGGGATCGCACCCAGCACCTCGGCTATTTCACTCAGGTAGATGAGATTCTCTTGCTGAGAATGATAGTAAAGATGGTGTTGGTGCGGAATAGCAGTAGTGAAGAATGGAAGAGGAAGTTGACTGCTGACTCCTAGGGAGATTGCTGAGGGTCTCAGCTAAGAGTGGTGACTGGCATTGATACTGCTATCAGCCTTCAGGCTTCGATGCTACTCTCCAGTGGCTGAAAAGACCCAGCTCAAGGAGAAATGGGTAGGAACTTGCCAAAACTCTTGGGGGAAATGGGTCTGCAGAATTTAACTAAAACAGCACCTCACTTTGGGTTTCACTTCCTTTCTGACTGCCCCTGCCAAGTCCCGCAATCCTGTCAGCAGGTTTTGGTATGTTCTCTTCAGCTAATGGCAAAACACTCTAGCAGGACAAAATGATGGCTAATGCTAGCCAGGCTGAGCAATACGGGGCTTGGTAACTTTATTTGCGCCAGTCTTTGCAACACAAAACTTGAGTGAAAAAAATAGCTATAGAGCTAACATCACTTATTCCGGATTAGACATTGTGCCAAATGTCTACAAACATTTACGTACAATGTTTTACTTAATCTTCAAAAAACTATCTGTGAAGAGTACTATCATTAGCTCCGTTTTACAGATTAGAGGCCTGGAGCCTAAAGAAATTGGTAATTTAAGGTAACTTGGCTAGTTATTGGCGTAGTCACCCAAGTCTGATAACAACATTCGCTTTAGGCACAAGTGTTATGCAAGCGAGTATCAGTCCGTAAGAACGCTGAGCGCGGTAACATATTATGAGTGCCCATATCATCGGACACATACGGTAACCGCAGTCCAGCCAGCACCCATCCGGTGACCCCGCACACTTGACGCTCACGCGCGCAGTCGCCGTGGCTTCCTCTAGGAAGGCTGAGGCGGCCTAATCTCGGTCAAGGTGTTGAGCACGACTCTATCTGGGTTGGACTCCTTCTGCCTGAGCGTCTGATCCGAACGTCGTGCGGGCGGAGCAGGGAGGGCGGAGCCGGCGCCCGGGAGAGTTACGGATTGGAGGGGAGGAGGAACAGAGGGCGGATCCTGGGGGGGGCGGACGAGAGAAGCCGCAGCAACCATGTAAGCAGCTTTGCTTCCTGCCGCAACCGCCGGCTGCCTGAGAATCGCGGTGCTGGGCTCTGAAGCTTCCTTCCTGTGCTTGGGCCCGGTGAAGCGGGGGCTGGGGTGGAGGGTGGCCGGCGGGGCCGCGGCGGGAGGCGCAGGTAAGGGAGGGGGCTGGCGCGCGGCCGGCTGGGCCTGAGAGTGGGGAAGAAGGCGGGTTTAGGAAGGTTTGGGGCCGGAGCGGAGGGGAAGTCTGAAGTGAAGGCGAGAGCTGGGGCTTCGCAACCGCGGCTGCGGCCGAGGCTGGGCAAGGAAGGGCAGAGAACCTGTGCCCGCATTCAGGCGGCTCCCTTGATTCCCCGGCTGCCCCTTGTCTGGCGAGTGGGGAAGGGAGCCGGGTAGGGCTGTTCTGGAAGAGGTTTCCTTGGAAGCATTTGAAGTTCTCTTGGTCCTCTCTTGTCCCGTGTACTTGAACTTATTTCGGAGGTGCATAGTCCAGTTCCTCCTCCCTCTGATGGATAAGCTCCGAGCCTGTGTTTCAGAGGTGTATACATAGACGGGACAAGAAAGTTGCTCATCTGCAGAAACGGTACCGGTAGTAGGGTTTATATACTTCCTTAAATGCTTGCCTCTGCTCTTTGAGGCTATTCCATTTGTACCTATGTTTAAAAGTCTCTTGAGAAGACTTGATTTCCCAGTTAGTATTTTCCCCTTGTTTAGAACGTTCCCAACAAAAGGATGAGAGTGGAATATTTTTAGGAATTAGGGGTCTTATGTTCTATGTAGAAGTCACTGTTAAGGCATTCAAGAAATATGAGAAATGCTGGAATTCTGTTTTAGTCAAGTTATTCCTGTTTATCTGGTGTATTTATTATATTATCCCGTACTGATTCAGTGCATCCTTGACAGTAGAGGTGGTCTCTTGGTATATTGTAGTGTCTTATTTCTGATTTATTTGAATCTTGTTTTTTGGCACTCCCACTATCAGGATTGTTACAAAAAAGTTCTTAGTTTCTTTCCGTTAGATTCGAGTTTGTGACAAAGAAGGGCAGGTTAAGTTTCTTTTGCAGAGCAAGACTACTTTCCTGTGTCTTCTCTTTTTCTTCTTTCTGGGAAGAATAATATGGATCATATGGTTTTCCTTTAGAAAACCTCCATCTGTTGGTACGTTGATCAAAAATTGAACAAAAAAAATCTTTGTAGATGGAAACTAACATTTCTAGTATTCAGCTGTCCTGCATTGTTAGATATATTTTGAGTATTAAAAAAAACACTGTACTTAGAAATGACTGAACTGATACTTGCATTTTTCTGTTTGCTAAAATTTTGGTTTGGCTGGTAGAGCAGGCTTATTTTCTAAATTTCAGTTCTTGACAGGGCTTTTGATAGTGCTGAGTGGGTCTGCGTATACTAGTCGCATTCAAGTGAGAAGAGGCAGAGTGCTGGTGATATATGAGAGGTCTTTGAATGAGTAAGTGAATGCTTCTAATTACCTCTCAGATAGGAAAGAATCCTAGTTTATATCACAGACAGTTAGTTATTAAGCTACCACAGAATAAGAGTTGTAAGGTAGTTTTTTCAGAGTCCTGGTATTATTATGTAGTTATTAACTGTGTGATTGTATTGTTTTAGAAACTACACTGGTGGGTGTTTTCTTGGTAATTTTTATCCTCACGTCTTCAAAACCTAATAAAAGTTTCTACATGGGTGACCCTTAGGTGTGATGCTAAGACTCTTTAGGAAGGTTGCTAACTCTCACATTACTTGCGTCAAAGTAGAATGTAGGATGTTCTCTGAGGCCTTCAGGTTGTTACTGCTATCACATTATTCTTTCTCTCCAGGACCCTCTTTTTTTTTTTTCCTCTTTTTACCTTTTTGAATTTACACTTGATCAATCACCAGCTGATTTCCCAGTCCCTTATGCTGGAATATGGGTTGTCAAGACACTTTAGAAGGACGTGTCCTTTCCCTCTTTCCTTCTTCCTCTTCTCCCCCCCCTTCCTCCTCTTCTTCCTCTTCTCCTTCCTCTTCTTTTTCTTCCCCCTCCCTCCATTCCAATAAACATTTGTTGCCGAAATTCTCCTCATCAGTGGTTTTATTTTTGCTTTGTTTAATTAATAATCAATTAACGTTTTAATTTGGCAGTGTCCTGAGTAGTTAGAATTCAGGTAGACCAGAATTGAAAGTCTGGGAAGAGCTACAAGATAATTTTGCTCTAAAGACTAATTCTGTGCCTCTTATGGGCAAGCACTTTGCTAAAAGTGCTTCACATATACTGTCCCACTTAATCACACTAAGATTCAGTTTCCACTATGTAAAATGAAGATGGTAATACATATCTCACAGGGCTCTTACCCAAGTTTACTCAACGAAGATATTTCAGAGTCAGAATTTGAAACCAAGAGTGTCTGCCTTCAAAACCAATGCAAGCTCGAAATATCTCTTTAATTAAAAGAAGAAATAATTAAATAAAATGCTGCCCGCAGGAAAAAATAAAGAGTAATTCTGGGGTAAAACTTGGCATCTAGTTACAGCTCTACCACTGACTAGCTACGTGCCCCTCGAGAAAGTTGTTTTGGGTTCAGTGTACATTGGTTGCTTCAGAGGTAAAATGTAGTAATAAGCCCAGCTCTGTATCTTTCAGGCTTTTAGAAAAATGAAATGAGATGGTAGATAGGATTTTGAAAGTGAAAAAAGCATTTTGTAAGAGTGTAGTGTCCTCCTTGTAAATATAAATTAGATTACAAGCTATAGCATTTTAATGAGTTATGCATAATTCATGGTCTTCTCTTTGAAGTATTAATCAATATGGCAGAAAATAGACATCAGTGCTTTTCTGTTACCTGCATCTGGTGATGTGGTTAGCTTTACAGCTTTGGTTGAATTATAATTTTTGGTTGTTAAAAAGAAAAGCCTGTTAAGATCTTCATTTTAATGCCTATATGAATTGAGGCTTAAAAGGAGAAAAACCAGGCTCCTGTGCCTAGGAAGACATATGATGGGGATCAGTCAGCTTGTGGATTTGGATAGTTCTTATAGGTGATGAGGCATAGTTTGAGGTAACTTTTGAGGTTATACAGAAATGTCGTTAAGGGATGACTATTTCGTTTCCTGTTCTTGGAAATACTCGTTTTTTATATTTTTTTGAAAGAAAACATTGAAATAAGTAAAATAAAACTTTGAGGAATTTGTATGCTTGTGTAAAACCAGTTTTCCTCTTTAAAAAGCTATTTTTCCAAAAAAGTCTTAAAATGAAAACTATATAAATCATGTGAAAATCCTCTTTTTTCCTTTTTGCCTGCTCACATTTATGCCTTACCTTCAAATTTTTAATAATTTTGGTATTTTTCTGTATTTGAATAGTAATTTTGAAAATGAGATTGACTATATGTTCCTAGTTTTAGATAACTGAGACTCTTCCTTATGATCTAGACTTCAGTGTTTTCAAGTCTTAACTTGGAGTGTATGCTGAGCTAGATTTGAATGTTTGAAGTCAGATTTCTAGATATTTGGATGCTGTTTGGAATCAACCTTTGGGCTTCCTGAGGAACTTACTTTTGCTTATTTCTTTTGTTTATTAGACTCATGAAATGGCCACAGATGATAAGACGTCCCCTACATTGGACTCTGCTGATGATTTGCCTCGATCTCCTACTAGTCCTTCTCACCTCACACACTTTAAACCTTTGACTCCTGATCAGGACGAACCTCCTTTTAAATCCGCCTATAGTTCTTTTGTAAATCTCTTTCGATTTAACAAAGGTAAGACTTATTCTTAAAGATCAGAGACCCTACCTTCTTGATTCTCTGAAATTCTCTTGTTCAACTTTCATGCTGTGTCTTTGCAAGAAAGTGAAATATTAACAAGGAGGTAGCTTTATAATCATAGGTCACTGGAGTTAACTGCATAAGAAGAGAAAGCTAGAATTTTCACTTTAATCTTATTAATTATTGGCAACTGAAGATCAGAATTGAAAACTAAATGTTACAAGGAGGTCTCTTTTTAAAGAGAAGTTAGCATTCTTTTTTTTTTCCTTTCTTAATATATCTCAGTTTTCTTAAGTTCATAGAATGGACTTTTCTCTTTTAGGGGTTAATAGCCAAAAAATTTTTTTTTTTTGCGGTATGCGGACCTCTCACTGTTGTGGCCTCTCCCGTTGCGGAGCACAGGCTCCGGACACGCAGGCTCAGCAACCATGGCTCATGGGTCCAGCCACTCCGCGGCATGTGGGATCTTCCCGGACCGGGGCACAAACCCGTGTCCCCTGCATCTGCAGGCGGACTCTCAACCACTGCGCCACCAGGGAAGCCCCCAAAAGATTTTAATTAAAGCAATGAAACTAAAGGACCAGCACATGGGAGGAAGGGTTCATATTTTTCAAAAATTGAAAGCTGTCAGCAGGCTTGTTGTTGACCTGTTAAGGTATACATTTAATGACACCAAGTGAAAAGATAATTTTAAAATGAGCTCTTTTTAAGTAATATATTTTTTACTTGTTAGAAGAATTAAAAAAAAAAAAAACATGGCCTACATCTTTTGCTTTATATTTAGCTGTATTGTTTGAAATGTGTTAGAAAGTAATCCCTCTAGTTGTAACGAATTTGGGGGTTAATAGTTTAATTAACTCAGTAGAAATTTTAATAGTATTAACTGACTTTTATTAACAGACATGTTGAAAGCTCTGTAAAACCTGTTAGTCCATTTTGAAGACAATAATTTTTTTTTTAAAGAAACCACAACAATCTTATTTTTTAGAATAGTTTTGGATTTATGGAAAAATTAGGAAAATAATACAGGAAGTTTTCATATACCCCTACACCCAGTTTCCTGTGTTATTAACATCTTACATTGGTAGAGTACGTTTATTACAATTAATGAACTATTATTGATACATTATTAGTAACTGAAGTAAGTATTTTATTCATATTTCTTCAGTTTTTACCTAATGTCCTTTTTCTTTTCCAGGATCCTGTCTAGGATATGTTACATTTAGCCATTAAATGACAGTAGTCTTTCTATTTAGCATATGTTTATTGAGCACCTACTATCCACTGGGCACTATTTTAATAGTACAAGGGATCTATCCCATAAATAAAGCAGAACAACAAAAAAATCACTGCCTTTGTGTAGAGCTTGCATTCTGTTTCCTTAAATATGCTCAAGAAATTTCTAATGAAAAGTAAAACAGGGACTTCCCTGGTGGTCCAGTGGTTAAGACTCTGTGATCCCAGTGCAGGGGGCCCGGGTTCGATTCCTGGTTAGGGAACTAGATCCCACATGTTGCAACTAAGACCCGGCTCAGCCAAATAAATATTAAAAAAAAAAAAAAAAAGTGAAACAAAGTGAAGGTCATATATACCAAGGATGTAATTTTGCCACCTTCTTTGAATTTCTCTCTCTTTTTTCTTTAAGAAAACCCTAATGTTTACTTAGGCATGTAATACAAGTACACATTCTTTCCTAAAAAATTCTCATCTATTTCCTTCTCTTT